TGGGGGTTGGCGGAGGGGGGAGGGGGATGGGGAGGAGATATACTGTTGGCATAGGAGTTTGGGGGACATTTGTTAATTTAGCTTTAATTAAGGAATTTGAATTTTAAGATAATTATTCAATGCCATATTTAAGAGATTTGTGTATGTGATTAAACTATAAAAAAAATATGTTATAATTATTCAAAAGTGGTATTATGAGTGATATTTTTAAATTATAGGGAAAATATGTATATATGATAGATTGATAGTTAAGTAGGTCTAATTATGTAATTTTTTCAAATAATAATTATAAAAGATCTTCAATATGTTGGGCTAGCTTGGGACTCTAAGACTTGGGCTGAGGTTGGACATAAGAGTAGAATAACTGGCCCAACTTGTGAGCTTCTGCCCAGCCCAAACACAACTTGGACTGAAGGTTAACTACTTCATTAAGGACATTTATGTGGCGATTTGGCCATATTTCATTGTAATTTATTATTTTTAAAATAGTTTTTGTTTTCAAAGTAAAAAAATGGTATATTTGGAAATTGGAGTTATGATTTGGTTCTGAATACAAATTAGAGTTATTTTTGAATTTTTGTGAGTAATTTGAAGTGAAAAACGTGAAAATAATTTCATGATCAAACATGTTTTTCAAAGTTTAACTTAACTTTTTGGCCAAACTCCCCTTTATTTTATATATATATGTCCAAAGAAGTGATCGAACAACAACGTCATTTACAATGCAAGATTTCGAATTTGCTAGTTCAATAAACCTAAAATATATACAAGTATCTACTTTAATTTGATTGTTCGATTTTGATTTGATACAGAGTTTAAGAAAGTAAAGAATATTTTTGAATCTTGTCGTTTTTAAACTAAAGATAGGTAGAATCAAGAATGTACCAAAATAATTTTTAAATGAAAAAAAGAAATCAAGACAAACAAACTAAAATGGAGAAAGAGAGTATATTTATTGAGTGACATATTTATAAGTTCACATTACTATATATAATTCTTTAAATTCAATTAGTTGATTTAACGTAAATATTGAATACAGATAAATACTTTTTCTTAATTTCCCAACGAGTTAATCAAATATTTTGCTTGCTAAAACATCATCATCACTACACATTATAAATTTCAAATGAAATATGAAAATCACATGAATCATGATGAAAAAAATAAATTCCGACCATATTAAATACTCCCAAAGTAACCAATAGACTAGACAATATAGATAGGTCATTTTCAACAAATAGCATTAAATTAATTAATTACCCAAATTCCAACAATTTTTTCTTAACATATATATATATATATATATAATGGTTGTGCAGTTGGGAAGCCAAGCAAATTTAATGTCACACATTCCAAGCTTAATACTTGTATGGTGACTTGTATATATTTCCCATTTATTGGACCTAAAATATTATAAATTCACACCTACTTCTACTTTTACTATTTTTAATATGAAATCTAATATACTATAGGACATCATGCTATTTATTAGCCATAACCACATAAATTTATACTCGGTGTGTGGTATTTAGAAAAATATTTTTGATGAAATTTTTTCAAGAGAATATAATTGGGTAAAGTTATTCTCATGTGATTTTGAATGTTATAGATTCAAGCTGTGGAATTTCTTATAGGAATATAGATCGGTAAGGTTGCGTCCAATAATACTTTGAGGTCCGTCTTTTCTCGGCCTCATATTTAGCGATAGCTTAATGCATAAGACTTTTCTTTAATAAGTGAATTTCTTATTTATTTTCTTGAATTCAGTATAAACAAAATATTATCCAAAAAATATTCGTAATATATAATCTAGACAAATTGGAAGGTAGAAGTGGGGGTAATAAGGTGGGGTGATGGTGGTGGAAATGAACGCTATAAGGTCTGACGAAGATAAATGTATTAAGGAACGAAGAGGATACCATCAATGTGGGAAAGTCCAAAAATATTTTTAGAAAATATTTTCCTTCATATCGAA